CACTTCTTAAGCTAGAAGTGTTGTCCTTATCTAAACAAGAGCGCTATTTGAAAATTGCCTGATAAAGGCGAAACAACAAAACCTTTTTGGTTTTCTGTGAGGGTCTCACCAGACAAAAACTAAGCATTCCTACGGGTCGGGACATTGGTGGAGGTTCGTGTTTAGTTTCAACAAAAGAAAAAAAATACTCAAAAAAAAAAGAACAATAATTAAGAATAAAAACAAAAAAAAAAGCGAAACTGTTGAAACAGTCCCTAATAAGCCTAACGTCGATGAAAACAGTAAACAAAAATAAAAAAAAAAAACATTTAAATAAACAAAAATAAAAAACCCAGAAAGAACACAAGAGTGGAAGCATAACAGAAACCATAAAAAATGCAAAGGACACTCGGCGGTAAAGTAGCAAAAGAAATATCAAAAACTGTTTATGTTCTTTGCAAAGATTGCCGAATACTGAGTAGGAGTTGAGGAATTCTCTTTTGAAAAGCGGATATAAAAGAACCATCAGATCAGGTTGCTTAACGATGAGTGGGCACCACCAATGACTAGCCAACAGCTTCATCCATTCATTATTAGTTACTTCAATCGAATCAAGGAGCAAAATGGCCATTATTTTGCTTTTAATGTGCTATTAAAGGAACAAAAAAAAAAAAGATTTTTTACCCAAATTTCGAACGTGCTAGAAAGGATTAAAAAAATTAATAAAATAATAATTTGGTCTTTCCTCTTAATAATCACATAAACATTTTGACGATAAAACTTTCTTTTTATTTGAAGTGATTAGAATTTAAAAATAAATAGCGAAAACTATCCGACGAGTGACTTAAATAATTGACAAGGAAATGTTAAAAGAAATATGATGTATCAGACGGAGTATCCACTATGGATAAACTGAGGCTTGGCACAAGGGCATGGGCATCTTTGTCGGGGTCAGTTATTATATAATAACAGTGATATGCTTAGCAACTTTCTTTTCTTTCTATGTATCGGGTCCATTCAAAACGTGGACGATTATGGCTCTCCACCTCTTTCTATCCTTTGCAGCTCTCAACAAGTTCCATCCCTCTGCCACCTCCCGCAGACCCCGTTCTATCATCCACTTGCTTAAGGCCGATAGGTATTCAATGCGTTGTTTTCTCTTGTTTCTCTTTCCTTCTGTTCGACCTGTGAGTATCAGATTCTCCAGGCCCTCCTTCCTCATTATATCTCCCAGGAACTTCTACTTCCTAGTCTTGATGTTAAGTATAATCGTCTTCCTTGTTTGCTCTTCTCTAAGACTTCATCGTTGCTCACCGCTCTGTTTATGATATCCTCAGCATCCTTTTGTAGAACTACATCTCTGTCGACTCGTGTCTCTTTGAGGAAATCGTCCAACATTGGCTGTTGTAAAGAAGGACTGTTGTCACGTAACAGCTCAGTATTCTTTTCTTTTCTTCAATACTAAATTTGAAAAAAAAAACGGAAATAAAGATAAAAACAAAGGCGACTGCCTTAGCGATGCATGGTGTCAGGGATATGTCGCTGTTGGAAAAAAATAGAGACCTTCCTAACTATTGAAAATGGTAGAGAAGAAAAGGCTGACCCACCTGTTGAATTAATGACAGAACCATGGTCTGGAACCCCTTCTGTTTGCCTCGGAGTTCTTGATAGGCTCCAGAGGCGGATATGCAATATAATTGGCCCTGATCTGGCATCTCGTCTACAGTCACTTTCTCACAGACGCGCCGTCGCCTCTCTCTGTCTGTTTTACAAATACTTTCGTAGCAATTGCTCCGAGGAGCTGCATTCGCTGGTTCCCAGACTTCATGAGTTCAAGCGCCCTACGAGGCTGGCACCCCGCTCTCACCCCTTCACTGTCGAAACTCCTAAATATAGCCGTCTCCAATAGTTTCATGTCTCGCACCTCTCACCTGTGGAACTCCCTTCCCTATTCCAGTTTCCCTGAGAGCTATAATCTCCAACTATTCAAATGTAATGTCAATCGACATCTCCACTTGCCTTGATCTATCCTCATCCTTTCTTCTATCACTCTTATCTGATCTTCTGTAACCCCTTGCGTCCTAGTGGCTTCTCGCCTTGCTTGGGGTGAAAGGCTTAAAAAAAAAACCCAAAAAAGAAAAAAACCGCTACCTGCAGTAACGAAGAGCAATCTAAGGACGTTTGTTGAGATCTTTTGAACTACGGGAAAAAACTTTGCTTCGCGTGTGCATGGTTCTTGAATAGATATATAAACATACATACGAAATAGGGAAGAGTTAAAGGTATTATTGCATAATTTTATTTCTTTTATATATCATAGAGAAAACTGGAAGGCTATGGGTTATCCTTATAATATGAACATTCGATAAAAAGGACGCGTGTGGTTAGCATTTACTAAGTTTTCTTATCATTTCAGGAGAGTTTTGGAATTTGGCATCTTGATGGCGTAAATATCTTCACCCCTTTGAACGGAGTTAAATAACAGTTATAAGGAGTGAGATTAAAACTCTTATTTAATTTCTCTCTTTAAAATTTTATTCCTCCCCTTCACTTTGGGTCTTTTCCTCTCCTTTTCTTTCTTTACACCTCTCTCTAGATCTTTCATACCTTCTCACCCCCTGTGACTCATATAGACCTTCATATACACTATCAATGAAATTTTGTTTTCTTAAACCCGGAGATATATTTTCTGTTTTCTTTTTGAATTTGCAGGTCTGATGAATTGAGTCGTTATTACTATTTCAATGAAATAAATTATAACCATGAAATATTAGAAAATGGAAATATATATATATATATATATATATATATATATATATATATATATATATGTGTGTGTGTGTGTGTGTGTGTGTGTGTGTGTGTAAGCAAATATATGGATATAGATCCGACAGTATGAAGAAAAATATACAGAAAAAACAAACAAAAATCCTAATATGCAATTATGCTGTTTTAATGTTAATATAATGTCAACGTCGGACGTTTCGGTCTAGTAGACCATCTTCAGGACATATTCATAAACATTTCCCCTTTTCTAGCAAGATTAATACTCAACAAACGTACATATAAATTTTAGATTAAAATAAAATTCTTTTCATTTTTCATTCAAAATACACTATTTTGGGAATACGTTTTCACAACATCGCCCACGTGACGCCGACGTGATCATATTGAAATGGAACGCTGATCTTGAAAAATTTCAGTTGTCTGTTTTGATTAGTCTTACTCTTATGTCCATCGTCATTTCCTGTTGAATTGAATATAGTCTAATGTTAATTATGTTTTATGAATATGTCCTGAAGAAGGTCTACTAGACCGAAACGTCCGACGTTGATATTATATTAACATTAAAACAGCATAATTGCATATAAGGATTTTTGTTTGTTTTTCCGTATATTTTTTTTCTTCATATATATATATATATATATATATATATATATATATATATATATATATATATATATATATATATATATATGCATACAAACATATATATGCATATATATAAAGAAAGAGAAGAAAGAGGGGAGAGCCTGAGAGAAAGAGAATTAAAACAATACAAGGTTTGTCGTTTAACTGATTGTGGCTAGCATGTACCACCTTTTCTTATTATTTCAGGACAGTTTTAGAATTTAGTATCTTGATGGCGTAAACATCTCCCCCCCTTTGAGCGGAGTGAAATGCTTAATAGTATGCGCGTTCCACTTGTGGGTGGGGATGGAATGCAACAGGGCGCTGGCCTAGGTTTGATGTTTATTTTCATGAGAATACAAAATGGGGGGTGATTGGAAGTTAGAATTAAATCACGAGAACCCCCCACCCCCGAGGGATATCTTAAATAATTTAGAAAATGAGAAAAGAAACGGAGAATTAAAATTACACTAGCTATATTAAAAGGGATTGAAGAGGCAATCAGATAGAATCGAACCCCGAACAAATTTGGCAGAAAGTCATTAACGTTGTAATTTTGCAAAAGTGGTTTCCTTTCCCTGATAAGAAAAATATTGTCTCCGGATTTCGAGGTGAAATCTACTTTTTGGGGGAACACATTTTTAATATAACGATGCTTAATTATAAGTTATTTTCACTAAAATATGGAGAAATGTTGTTTTGCTGGGGTGATGTGTTTTAGGGGCAATAGAATATAAGATAATCCAAATAAAGGTAAAAATTTTACATACATCAATGCAAAGAATGTGTAATGGAGTGACCAGGGCAATCGCTTATATAAACCGCTGAACTATTTGGCTACGGGAGTCACCGGAAAGATCTGAGAACGACGTGTTAATAAAATTCCTGTCTTTCGAAGACAAGAGAATAGACGCATCCTGTAGAAGGAACGGATACACACATACACACACGCACAAAGGGACGTAACCGTTGCAGATTCGCTGCGGGGTTGGAATGGCTACTACAGTGTAACCCGGATATAAGAGAGTTGTCGGGACCGGAGAAGATGTCTCTTATATCCTGGTTTCTCTTATATCCGGGTTTGGTCTAATTTGTTTTGGTAACACAGGCTCTAATTTGGGACCAGAGAAAATCTCTCTTATATCCGGGCTTCTCTTATATCCGGGTCTCTTATATCCGAGTTACACTGTACTACTAAATTATCAATAGCAGCCAAAAAGGTCAAGAATTGAAGCGATCGGAATACAAGCACCTCAGGGAAAGGAAATCATCATTTTGCTACCTAGATGTGCGGACGACTCATGTTTGTGAAATATTCCCGCTCAATAAGTTAGATTTCCTGAAGTCGTTGTTCGGCATTAAAGAGATCTTCCGCCTAGATTCGACGTTGGGTGCCAGCTTTTAGGATCAAGCGGGAAACAAGTTACAACTCTCCCGGACGGAATCACTCAGCACACCGTCAGGGAAACAACAAACCACTAGGCGATCGCTGACGAAAACGGAATAATTTCACAGAGTGTGAGATGGATTGGAACCTCCGATAGAGACACGTATCCAAATTTGGTTTGCCGGACACACCAACTAAAAGACAGCCGTGTACGACTGGCCTTATGCCGGACACACCAACTAAAAGACAGCCGTGTCCGACTGGCCTTATGCCGGGCACACCAACTAAAAGACAGCCGTGTACGACTAGCCTTATGCCGGGCACACCAACTAAAAGACAGCCGTGTACAACTGGCCTTATGCCGGACACACCAACTAAAAGACAGCCTTGTACGACTGGCCTTATGCCGTGCACACCAACTAAAAAACAGCCTTGTACGACTGGCCTTATGCCGGGCACACCAACTAAAAGACAGCCTTGTACGACTGGCCTTATGCCGGACACACCAACTAAAAGACAGCCGTGTACGACTGGCCTTATGCCGGACACACCAACTAAAAGACAGCCTTGTACGACTGGCCTTATGCCGGACACACCAACTAAAAGACAGCCTTGTACGACTGGCCTTATGCCGGACACACCAACTAAAAGACAGCCGTGTACGACTGGCCTTATGCACAGTTTACACGTGGCAACCAGAGTTTTTGGTCAGCGTTTGTTTACGTTCAATTCAATGGCCGGAGGTGACCTGATCACAATCGACTCAGTAAATAGGTTTGGGCCCGCCTAAGGCTCGTTTATACATATATGTTAGGTGGATATTAGAATGTACATTCAGTTAATAGATATTCACAATGAAAATAATACAAACCTTTTGACCCCCCGCATATATATATATATATATATATATATATATATATATATATATATATATATGGCACACACTAATATTTCATGACTATAATTTATTATATTGGAATCATAATCACGACCCAATTTATTAGACCCACAAATTCAAAATATATCTCCGAAATTATATAAGTCGGAATCTCAACAATTTGGCCATTTAAGAAAATCTCCTGACATTCGGCCATTTTCTTAATTTTAAGAAATTTATAAACAAAAATTATTGATTTTAAAAATCTTCCAAAAATAAAACATATAGTTGTGACACAATTAGCAAATTTAAAGTTAAATTAATTTTATTTGAAATAAATATTACCTACCGGAACTAAAATAAATGCATAAAAAATATTTAATGAAATAGTAATTAAAAAAAGTAAACCTTACTTTCAAATTTTGAAGGGATGATTTGCAAAGACGTTAACAATGAAACAGAACTGAATAATGAAAGTGAATTGCAGTACGCCAGACAACTCTTACATCACGTAACCTTTTAAAGGATAATATCATTTATGGCTTACCATAGTTAGAAATTGGGAACGTTTATACACTATTTTTTTTTTAATTCTTTTAAAAATATTGACTAGAATTTTTGACCCGTAAATATCACTTAACAATATCACCATATCGCCGCCTTGTAGTAATGCATAATTTTAAAATTCCTCTTAAGACAATTATGTTCTTAATAAATCTTAATTATAAAAGCAGTTATAAGTTTTTATAATTAAATAATATAATAGTTTTATTGCATTTTTTATTTTACAATTCAGACCAGGTTTTCTGTGAATGGGGTAATTGTTTTCTAAAAAAATTTGATGATTTACATTCTCCAAGAAGTCCTGCTTGTAACTAATAAAAAAAATCCCCATACTAAAAATTAAATTTCTCGAAATTTCAAGAAATTAAGTCAATGTGTGGTAACATGTAAAAAAGAAAAATACTTTTTACAAAATTTTCTAAAAAAAAAATTTCCTAAATAATTGCATTCATTTCTGAATAAGTCCTGAAAGATTGATTAACATCCGACAATTATTTGATTTTTGAAAGAATTTTCAAGTCAATGTTTTTCACCGGAAAAAAAAGTGCCAAAAAAAAAAAATAAATAAAAAATAAGTAATCGTAATTATTACGTCGACCGCTAACATAAACGAAACAAGAAAATTTCGAACGTACTGAAAAGAATTAAAAAAAAAAAATTAAAAAATAATAAATACTTTGGTCTTTCAGCTAAATATAACAAACATTTTAATGAGAAAAGTTTGTTTTTATTGAGTTTGGGCCCTTTTTTCATCATGGTACGCTGTTTTGCCGAAAAAAGCGGAGGTACCTATTTAAAAGGGATAAATAACTTTAAGGAAATCTGTAACAAAGGGGAAACGTATTTTCACGTGGCTCGTTTTCTAAATGATGAAATGTTCCACACGTAACATTTTTCCCCTTTGTCATAAATTTTGTTCACACACACACACACACACACACACACACACACACACATATATATATATATATATATATATATATATATATATATATATATATATATATATATATATATACTGGGTTTAACAGCACAATTGTTCAAATTGTGTAAAAGCAAAATTTTCAAATTTTTAGATTAAGTTTGAACCGTTGGAAATGATTAAAGATATATTCCTGGAATTCTCCGAGGATTTTATAACATTATTGGACTCTACTTTGAGCAATAACAATTTATAATTACTTTCCAAGATTAACAGAAGAATCGTTATGAAATCGATCATAAACGAAAATGACCTGTTCATCATTAATTAATCATAGATAAGGATGAAGTATTGGAATAAAGTTCAAATACATATATAGATATTATTCCAGAATCGTTTTCCAACTTATTCAAGATGATCTTTGTCCTCTCTAACCTTCTAATTTTCCGGAGTAACAAGACGCCTCAGGTTTCACATACGATTTCATTTTCAAGATTTTTTTTACTGCTATTTGAACTGTCATAGCTGAAACTCATCTCTCATGGACGAAAAGTTTTATGAATTGAGTTGAATCTTTTCTGGTTCATTTCTTTAATTCCAAGTTCAAATGATGATCTCTCTTCCTATTGTGACCTCCTGATCCAGTTTTCACCTCTACTGTTTCCTCTTTTTAAACTTATTCTCCCGTTTTCTTGATGGTTCTTGATTAGACTTTGAAGATGGAAGCCAGCGTATAAATGTTGGTACCATTACTGAAGGCCTGAATGAACGTTTTCCTTTCACTGTTACTCAGCTGGAAAGACGTAGGGGGGGGGGGGTGACACAAAACGATTTAAACCTGTCCTCTTTCTAGCTAAATAACTCAAAGTGTTTTTTAGGGATTCTCACGAAAAATGGTGTCAAGATGGCTAAACGTCTTATCTGAAAGTCTGGGAAGAAGAAACCCAATTAGTTTAGTACTTTTTTTACATATTAAACATTTTGGAGGATGGACAATTATGCTGTTACACGATTTAGACAAAATTAATTATGCTGTTACACCCAGTATATATATATATATATATATATATATATATATATATATATATATATATATATATATATAATCGATTCTCCTGTCGGGTTCGACGTATGAGGGTCAAGCAGATCAGTTTCCAGGAAACTAACAGTCCGACACCGGCACATGAGATTTGATTATAGTGGTGAAGGTTTCGTGCAGGACCATACACACTTTTTTGCCAAATACAGAGACCTGGTGCACTACTTGCCACAAGGTCCCCAAACAACCCCCCTCAGGTTTTGAATTCAGAGTTGTCCTTCTCCTAGACCAGTTGCCATCCAAGGCTATAGAACCCAGTCTGTCCTGCTATTTAACCCATAGCTGGAGGGAGATGAAGAGGATTCACACCTTTCCCAAGGGTATTAGCACGTAAGTGAATGTAATGGATTCAACCTGGATTCGAACTAAAACATGTTTAACGTTAAATCTATCAGGCCACAGGTCAGTTAGGTCTTATTTAAATACACGTAGAGACCTACCAAACTCTATCTGTAACATACTCGTTGATAATACAAATAGCCTCATCAATATGTAAAAAAGCCATAAATACTGCAAGCATTATTAATAAAAAGAAAATGCCAACACTCAATAATATCAACTATGAACACCGCCATACTGTGCTGACCGTATTTATAAAAATGAAACATTACTATAACTACAATGTTCACTTGCAATTCGGGTTCTAAACCCATTATGGTCGATTTGTCAGGTAGGTTATTTCTTGATGCTTTCAGTCGGTGGGGTACCTTTTGAATGTTTCTGAAAATCATGCTCACAGATTGAACCAAACCTTGTAAAACTGGGTTGATGGAAATAAGAGTCGATAGTTTTGCTAGCATGAATTCAAAAGTCATCATGGACGTAGGATTTAGCGGACTGGCTTTTTTGAAACTGTTGGTCACACCAGTTCACGTTCTCTCATCGAGAAAGTGTAACTACGGCCTGCTCCTCAGCATAGCTGCAGTATAAAGAGCAGCACCGCTTTGCAGCTGCTGAACAGGAGTCTGCATTAGGAATAGATTTGCCGCCCTAGCAGATGGGTGTGCTCGGAAACATGCCGTTAGCTATTATATGCTTGTTTGCCACGTTCGCGCCTAATAGCTGAATGTTAGTGATCATGGACAGTGGGAATGCTTTTGAATTCAGAATTGAGCTTCTCTTAGCGCGGTTGCCAAATACGGCTAGAGATTCACTGCTATTTAAAAATAGCAGGAAGGTGACAAAATTTTATACTATTTCCCAATGTTATTTTCACGTAAGCCAATGTAAAGAATTCGAACTTGTATCTCTGATTTCCCATTTTGTGCCGCCGTCCATTACACTATCCTTAGTCCATGGTTATCAACGGGAAAACAGTTGCCTAGATTCGAATCCTCTTATTGTATATTGCAAGGTTTGAAGTAGGCATGAACGCCGTGTACTGAGTGAGCCAAATCGTAAAACTGTGTGTTACCCATCGACTCATCCAGCAACTGCTCTCAAAAGTAGAGGTGAATGGCCATTATTGCGTCGGTCTGGAGATTTGTTAATCGGGATTCCATAAATAGTTGGACGACGCACAAGAGGCTGCGGAAGCAAAGGTATGTGGACATTTGTTTGGAGTGGGGCGGTCATCCAGTTCTCTTGGCATCTGGACTGCCAAAAACCGTACTGAAAAGCGGAAAGACGGTTTCTTAAACAGACCACACAGATTTGCAAGATGGAATATACAAGTATATGTAAAAAGGCAAAAAAAAAGAAAGAAAGAAAGAAAGAAAGAAGTATATTTTCACTGTTTTCCTCTCACAAATACACATACAGACAAGATTATCTGTAAAAAAAAATGGCTAACAAAAATCAAAACGTGGCCTTTTATATAAATTCGCATATGGTTAAGTTTTGTCTGCGTCACAAAATTACATCAGTAGAACAAAACAGTTCTCACTGGAAAGGCCTAAGCAATAATTAAGTTATGAAAGTCTTAGCGACTATAGGTGTGGCACAAGGCAGTATATATGGGTGCATTCGGTGAAGTTTGAATTTCTCTACTCAATCGTAATTGATTTTAGCGAGACGAACTCACTAAACCCCATACCATTCCGAAGGGACTCTTCCTCTCTCGATTTATATAATTCCTATATGCACGAGTCATCGTGACCAATGGTGTCAGCGTGCTGGTGTTGTTCAGACCGTTGATCAAGGGAGATAACTCACTCTTCACCAGGAACTGTAACTAACGTCTGCTCATTATAGTTGCAGTATAAACCACAGGTGGGCTCTGTGGGTGTTGAACAAACACAAATGTGCCTGAGAATGCGTCTACAACAGGGATTGGGTAGCCGCCTTAGACAGACATCCTTGGTTAAGAGTGGCCAACCATAAGAAGAA